ATTTTTTTATAATTTTTTTATATTACAAATTTTATTATTCTTTAATTTAAAAATAATATTAATGGTATAGAAAAATACAAAACACAAAATCGGAAAAATTTGTTTTAATGATCTTGATTTATATTTGTACTCTTTCAATACCAATTTTTATAAGAATGTTGGATTTATATTAATATATGATGAAATTGAAATAGTACTGAAATATTTTAATTGTCTCTAGTTTCTGGTTCTTCATCATATGCTCCCATAACTTTTTCCATTATTTCCCAAAGTTTATCTCTTGTTAAATCTTTACAGAAGACCTGAAAAAAATTACAATTTGTTTTATACTTTTAAATGATTCTTGATTTTTAAATTTAAAGTTACAAAATATTTTAATCATTACATTAAACCAAGGTTGCTGATCACATTCGTCCATTAATGGCACTACTACACCATAAATTTGTAGTGACAAATTAATACAAGCAATTGCTATTAAATTTGGTGGATAATCAAGTATAGCTGGAGAATGATGAAAATCTTGTAGAAGTGCCATACTGGTTTTTGCAACTGGATATTTAGACCACTCTTCTTCTCCAAACCATGCTTGCAAAGACCGTAAATAATGTAACATATACTAAAATTAATATTGATTAATAATAATATTTATATAATTATATTATATATGATTATATAATAATATAATATTTATATAATATATTAATGTATGATTAATATTTACTTTATGTGGATGTATTGGAGTTACTTGAAATTTAAGCATACGCATGATTAAAAGTTCTGCTTGAACTATTGCATCTCTCATACTCCAATATTGATCTCCCAATTCTAAGGGTTGTGATCCTCTATGTAATGTGCTATAAGATACATTCATTACATCTCTTATTTTTAAATTATCATCTTTCACTTTTCCAGCTAAATAAAGACATGTTGCAGCAATTAACTAAAAGACATACATGTATATATAAATGTTAATTATAAAAAGTATATATTAGATATTTTAATTAATATTATAAATATGTAATTTACATAATTATCATAACCTCCTGGAACAGCTTCTTTTATAAATCTATGATATAATGTTGCAGCTGTAGCAATAGTCAATGGATGAGCTTCTAATTTTAAACCTATAATTTTACAAAACTTAAAATTACTTTTCATAAATATAATCTTTTTGAAATACAAAATTTTTAATCATTATTTTTAAAACCTACCACATTCAAATATAAATCTTGAAATTGTGAAACTATCACTACTTTTTGTATAATCAATTGTAATACTTTTCTGCAAAGTATTCCTCTTCTCTCGTTGCATAGCTAATACATCAATAACATCTTTCATTTTGGAACTATACAAAATTTAAAAAAAAAATTTATTTTAAACAATATATTTTTATTAATTAATCTATTATAGATATATTATTAATTATAATTAAATATGAAAGATATATATAAAATTATTAAAAATACTATAAAAAACTAATTTAAGCATAAAATTTATTTAATATATTATTGAATTTTTTAAATATAAAATAAAAATGAGATAAAATATAAGAATTGCATAGAAATTACGATTTAGCATACTTTTAATTTAAATTTAAAAAAGAAATTTATTTTAAACAATTAAATTATATATAATTACCTTAAAGTTTCAGTACTTGTAGGTTCCGTAGGATTCATTTTGATGATATTTTAATTGAATTTGTTTATGAAATGAAAATGAAAACAATTTGTTTTGTTACAGGTTATAATATTTATTTACCGTACACTGCGTATCAAAATTACCAACAGACAATTATATTCCCGCAAAAATTCCTTCTTAAAGGAATATGCTATATGACTATTCTTAGTCTTATATCTCACTTTATTATGTGATGTAATCTTCACTTTCATTTGTCAACAATCTACAATATGATAATATTATTATAAATTTATTAATTAATTTTTTTCTTAATACAATAACTCTATTTATTACTTTTTTATTTTCTACATTAATAGTTGATCAATATCTGGCAATTCTGATCAATATGTACTTTTTTCCATTGGAAATTTTAATACCAATATTTGAATAATTAAATATTGTATTTTTTAATAAAATTTTAATAAAATTAAAATTCAGTGTGTATGATTAAATTTTTTTGATATATTAAAAATTGATAATTTTTTTTGTTTTTCCAATAACTTTTAACGAAGAATCTAAAAATATTAATTTTTAATTTAAAAATTCACTAGTTCAGAAATTATTCATATGTAAAATTGATTCTTTTTAAAAATATATATTACATATTGATTTCGCTCATTAGACAAATTAATATGACGTCTTAATAAAATATTAATATAAAAATATAATTAATAATTAAATTTTAACATCATTAAATAAGTTAAATACGAATAATTTTTGACCTAGTAGATTTCTAAACTTAAAATTAATATTTTTGAATTCTATTCATTAAAAACTAAAGATACAAAAAAAAATTAATAATTTTTGATGTTTTAATAAAGTTCATTGATCATAATTATTATACATATCATATACATACATTTGCTATCAAAGTTTTTTTTTTTAGTATTCTTTTTTTATTATTGAATATATTTAATATTAATGCAATTGTATGTAAATATTCTATATAATTTTCATTTTGTGTCGATTTTAAAGTATTTTGATTCTTGACTTTTATCATTTATATATAAATATGCCTTTAAAAGGTATAAAAGTATTAGAATTAGCTGGAATTGCTCCAGGTCCTTTTTGTGGAATGATATTAAATGAATTTGGTGCATCTATAATTAAAGTAGATAAGGTATTATTAATATATGATTTTTTTTCAATTGTTAATTTTAAATTTAATTTTCAAATTAATATTTGTTTTTTATAGATTGATGGATTTTATAATACCATTGATGTTCTAAGTCATGGAAAAAGATCAATTGCATTAAATTTAAAAACTTCTCAGGGTCTTGATATATTTAAAAAATTGAGCAATCAAAGTGATGTGATTATAGATCCTTATAGAGCTGGTAGTATTTTTTAACAAATATTATTATTATGTAAATATAATAAATCACAATATAATAAAATTGTTTAAGGAGTAATGGAAAAATTAAAACTTGGGCCAAAAGAACTTATGGAAACAAATAAGAGATTGATATATGCTAGATTAACAGGATTTGGTCAAAATGGACCTTATGCTAATATGGCTGGACATGATATTAACTTTTTAGGTTTATCTGGTAATTTAGTAATAACATATATATTATTATGTACTTATATATATTTAGTTATTTTATTTCAAATATTTAATATTATAAGAATTTTAAAGTATTTTTAATAATATTCAGGTTTATTATCATTATTTGGACGATACAATCAAAAACCAACACCACCAGCTAATCTAACTGATTTTACTGGTGCATTGATTTGTGTTTTTGGTATAATGCTAGCATTATTTGAACGTAATAAAAGTAACATTGGTCAGATAATTGATGCATCAATGGTAGATGGATCAGCATACATAGGTAGTTGGATGTATAGATCTCAAAATATATTTGGTTTATGGGGAAATCCCCGTGGTAAAAATATGTAAGAATTTATAAACTAAATCACTACTTATTTTATTCTCTATAGTTTTATAAAAATAGATAATTAAATAATTTTTTATAAATATAGATTAGATTCTGGAGCACATTTTTATGATACATATGAAACAAAAGATAAACAATATATATGTGTTGGAGCAATTGAATCTAAATTTTATAAGATATTTTTAGAAAAACTTGGTATTTCTTCTGATGAAATACCACAATTTGATAAATTTGAAAAAAATCGTGAAAAATTAGAAAAAATATTCAAACAAAAAACTCAAGCAGAATGGTGTGACATATTTGATGGCACAGATTCTTGTGTAACACCAGTTTTAAATTTAAAAAATGTTGCATTACATGCACATAATAAAGAAAGAAATACATTTAAGATTGAAGATGATGGTTTAGTTACTCCAAATCCTGCTCCTCGTTTATCTCGTACGCCTGGTATATCCAAAAAATATCAAAAAATTCCTGAATTAGGTGAGCATACTATAGAAATTCTTAATGAATTAAATTTTAAACATGAAGAAATTACTAATTTTATAGCAAATGGAATTGTTAATCAAAAAATAAAACGTTCTTCACTTTAAGTATGTATTTGATTTCTATTGAAATTTATATATCTTTATTAAATATAAAATTATAAAATTATATAAAGACATGCCTATACTACATATGATAGATAATCATTTATAGATGATCCAATAAATAATGAGAAAGTAAAAAGTAACATATATATTTTTTATATGATATTATCTGTGATTTATATATATAATTGTGTAACATTATTAAAAGATATATACATGTGAACTATTTATAGATAATGTCTATTAGTATAGTCAAGTCCTAATATGATTGTATGTATAAAAAATATTCTTTTGTTTTATTACTGTATAAAAATATTTTATATTTCATTATAAATATAAGTATATATTTTTTTTAAATTATTGTTTTTGTATATTATAATATATTATAATATATATATAATATATTTTGTATAAAATTATAAAAAAATTATAAAATATATAATTATATAAAATTATAAAAAAACATAGCAAATTATTGTTTTTAAATTTATTTCTCATATTTCTTTTTTGTTTAATCATGTTTACCATGATTATTGGATTTTTAAAAAATCATAAATTATTTATTTGTTTATTATTTCTGAAACATTTTTTATAATATAAACAATTGCTGCATCATCTGGTTTCATTACATAAGCAATATGATCAACATAATGTACTAACAAAAATAAATTTCGATTTTTTTTAGATATTTCATCCAATGCTCGAAAACTTAATTGATATTTAAAATTATCTAGCCTCTTTAATCTACTATAGTATCCGAATTTATATAATATTTAATTCATCTTCTATCTCTTATTCGATTTATTCCTATGATATAGATTTTATTAAATTTTATATTTTTATTCAAATTTTGATATAATTTAGCTGATTTTTTAATTATTAAAGATCTGTAATTTTTTTTGGATTGCAAATCAAGAATATTTACTAAATTGTGTTATTATATTTTATCTTTATCATTAGTAATTTCATGAAGAATTATTTAATTAAATTCATTATCTAAATTCATATAAGTTATTAGATCTTTCAGAATTTGTAAGACATAATATTTTTAAAAAATATATATATATAAATATATATCTTGGATATTTTATCTCTTATGTAAAATAAATATATATATTCTATATATGTTCTACATATTTTATATAAATATATTCCAATATTCAGTAAACAGTTTGCATGTTTATACATTATATATAAAAGAACAATATTGACAAAATTTTTTTTATAAGAGAGAATACATATTTGTAAATTATAAATTATATAACTGACACTAAGTGAAAAAATCTATTAAATATTTAATATTGAACTAATTTTCTTAACAATATGTCTGAATATCTTATGAATCACTTTATAATATATAAATTTTATTTACAATAAATAATTATTACAATGTCTGTTTATGTAATACATTGCTAATTAATTGCCAATTTTTTGCACTTTAAATTTTTCACATAAATTTTTTACATAAATTTTTTAAAATTAAAATTTATATAAAATATATTTTATTATTTAATGATAAATACCTACATAATAAAATTATTTATAATAATGTACTTGAAATTTAATTTAATTTATCAATTATATACTTGAAATGTAAAATTTTATTATAAATATCGAATGTTTGCTACAAACTACATCAACAAATATGAAGCATATTATTGAATAGGAGATGGTTGCACAGACTCATCTCGACGAGAATCCTTTTTGACAGGGGGAATAGACACAGATTTTATTGACAATAAAGAACCAAACAAAACATGTTGAATAACAGGGAATTTCGCCAGAACCTAATATTTAAAATATAAAATTTTTTAAATATTTAAAAATTATATTTAAATTTATTATTAAATTAAATTTATTATTAAAATTATTAACAATAATATTTACCTCAACTCTATACATTTTAATAAGACCGCTATTTACTTTGACCCATGTAGACACTGCACTCACATTCCATAATTGATTTGAATGTTCAGCAAATGGGCCTGTTTTTACCTAAAATAATTTCAAAATTTAAAAAAAAATTAAACTATACTATATATATGCATATATACATACATATATACAAACCTTTGAAATGAATTCAATGCAACCAAGAAACATATATTGCTTGCTATATGTTTGAACAATATCTGATTCAACAAAATGACGAGGTTCTATACGAGGATGTCCTAAAATATTTATTTTATGTATGTTTATATATACATGTTTTAAATATATTATTATAATAAAATACAAACAAAATAATACCAATTAATTGTGCACTTCCCCATATAAAAGGAACAAATTGATAGTCATCTAAACTCCATACACCATGACTACCTGCTGGTTCCATCCGATAAGTTAATTGTAATCTACGTACTAATTCCAGATATCTTTAAAAAATATAAATAATTTTGTTTTTTTAATTTCAAGAATATATAAAATATTAATTTTTAAATTAAATAAAAAATAAATTACCTGTTAAATATTTTTATAACTACTGCAACTTTATCATCTTGTGTAAAAGCACCAATTTTGAACATACAACATAAAAACATTAAAAATGCCATTTCATGTCCTGTGCCATAATCTATACGTGTTGCATTCCCAAAGCCTTCACATAAATATTGAACTATTTCTGGAACTGCTCTATGTAATTTTTGTGGCAATACTTTTTGTAATTTTGTTATTCCATTCTGAAATATTATTAATCAAAAAATTTTGAAGATTTTCATATAAAAATATATCATATTTACCTGTTGTAATCTTTCATGCCATATTCTAAATGATTTATTTCCAAAACGTTGGGGCTGTTCAGTGGGAGGTATCTGTGTTATCCAATCATCAAATTCATTAAGCATTTTAATAACATTTCCTATTGCAGGACTTTGTGAGCATTCAACATCTAAAGCTTTTCCTTGAACTGATTCATTCAAAGCCAATATAAATCCCAAATATTCCTACAAAAGCATTTTTATATTTTTTCATGTATTTGAAGATACTTAAAAATATTTTATGATTTTATGATTTAAAAAAAAGTAATAAAAATTCTTACAAAATATGCTTCGGATTTTTCCCATATTTTCATATGAGCCGGTGTTTTAATCGATTTTTGTGGAACAACAAATTCATGATCATCAGCTAAAATTTAATAAAAAATAATTATTTGAATTTATTAATTGCAATTTTGTAAAATACATACGAGATATAGGTAACTTTGACGTTGACATCGTATTTATTGTAGAACTTGACTATCATATATTGAAAATAAATTCGGACTATGAAAAAAAAGAGAGAGATATACTTAAATTATATATATATATATATAAAATATTATAAAACATTTGAATTATGTACAAATACCAGTGTTAAAAAGCTAAGTTGTTTTAAATATTAACACAATTTTATTCGGAAACATACAAATTTAACTTAAATTGTTAAAATTGTATAAGAAATATGTTTAAAAATGTTTTTAAAAAATTGATTTCTTATTATATCAAAATTTCATAAAGGAAAAATTAAAATATAAAAATATATCATTTATGAGCATTAAAATTAAATTTTAAAGATAGATCATATACTGCCTTATATACAAATTTATTACTAAAAGTAAAACCAATCATATTATGTTCAAAAGTTACTGGAAATATAACTATCAAGAAGTTACTGGAAATATAATGATTGAGAATGAAATTTTTCCCTAGATAATAAAATAGTATCATTCAAATTAAATCAAAACGTTTAAACAACAATTGTATAAAATAAGTTATTAAGTTAATTTAAATTAATAAAAATAGAAGAAAATGAAAAAGTCATATATTGTTATGAATTTTGTAAAATCATATTGACTATACAAGATTTATAAAAGAACATATACAAAGTATATACAAAGAATATATATAAAGAAAAGTATATATATATATATATATTAGATTTATAATTATAATAAAAAAATTAAAAATATAATTTAATTTTTAAATATTTTTAAAATTATAGGCATGAATTATTCTCAAGAAGAAATAGAAAAAAAACGTTTATTAGCTATACAACGTAAAAAACAAGCTCAATTAAAAAACAGTTCATTTAATTCTACAAATATAGGAAATAATATTTCTTCTAATGATAATATTTTAATTAATGAAAATAAGTTAAATAATAGTACAAAAGTTTTGGGACATGGTCAATCAAAATATATTAATTTCAAAACAAAATTTGGAAATAATTCTGATAAAAATAATGCAAAATTCAATAAACAAAAAGAACGTTTTAATCCTATATCAGCCCAAAATTTTTTTGGTCAAAAATCTTCTATTACAGGAAAATGTTATATGATAAGTGATACAAGATTTACATTAGAAATTTCATCATATTTTCCTCCACTTATTGAAACATTAAAAACAATTTCAAGCAGATCATATGGTAATATAAAATATATATTTGATATAATTTTATTAGTTAATAATTTAAGATTTAAAATAAAAAATTAATATTATATAAATAGTAATATTTATAAAATATTATTATAAAATGTATATTTTAGATATGAAAACTAAAAATTGGAGTTTTCATTTGAAAGATTATGAAGTACTAATGGAAAAAATTATTAATTTCAAATCTGATGTACAAATCATAGGATTACCAAAAATAGTTCTTCAGGTTGAAATATATATTATATAATATATATATACATATACATATAGATTTATATATTTTAAATGTTTTTTAGATATTCAGAAAAAATGATATTTCAATAAATATAATTGAAAATATTGATTTATCAGATATTGATCCTACATTATTAGAAAATATAATGCCATTTCAACGAGAAGGAATATGGTATATGATCTATGTATTTTAACAAATTTTTTAAACCAAATAATATTAAATTTGTTATTTTTAGTTATGGAATATCTAAAGGAGGTCGTTGTATGATTGCTGATGATATGGGTTTAGGAAAGACTATTCAAGCATTAGGCATTGCACATTATTTCAGGAAAAATTGGCCTCTTCTTATAATTGTACCTTCTTCAATGAGGTTTGATAATAAAAAATACTATATATAAATATATATAGTATATATACATATAATATATACATATAAAATATATATAGTATATATATATACATTATATATATATAGTATATATTA